ACGGGCACGGTACAGGCACGGAACCTCGCCTTGTAGGGTTCGGAATAAAAATGAAGATTTAACAATACATCACCGCTACGGCACGGTACGGTCACATCGCGAATGTATCGTGTGTTTTGAAGTTACAAAATCCGCTCAGGGACATGATTCGTGCGACATAACAGAAAGGTCAAATTCGCAGATGATGACAAGTAAATGTCAAACGTTTCACGCACGCATCATGTGCTAATGCGTCTCCTAATACAAACCACGACAATTTTAAAATGCTTACATATTATGCGTTGGGAATATTCTCCCTTTTCGGCTCTACTTACTCTCTATTTGTTGCGGTCTGTGCTCTGTCCGTTTAGTCTAGGTATTGAAATTTTGTTTCCGAAGCTATGAATTTTCCAGATGGCACTGATTTAACGGGATCATACAAACTATTGTTGTTGTTAATATATTATCATTAGATAAAAAAAAAACAGAAAGAAAAACAGAAAGAAATTTTCCAAACCACTTTTCTGGTTTAAAGTGTGACCCAGACAAAGTTTAAAAAATCCGTTTTGTAGAATCATCATCATCATCATCCTGCGGCCTCGGCCGAGATGTCTCGTAGAATATTCCACTTGCTGACATTGTTTTTTTGACACTTGTTTTTTGTCTGTGTTTTTTTAAAATGATTGTCATTTTGAGATAGCTATGTTTTCGATGTCTATTTTTTTTATAAAAATTTAAACGTAATAACCCATCACAATCATAGTTATCATAATCATCAAACGATTTTTATGTCATACGTTTTAGGTTTACCATTTGTATTTGGAGTTTGTACAAATRAGAAGCCATATGCCCTTGTAATGGAATATTACGGAGTAAATGGAAAATCCATTACCATTGCAAGAGCACTTCAAACAAAGCTGCTGACCGACCAAATTGGATGGGCTAAAGTTTTAATTTATTGTTCTAAAGCAATTGCAAAAAGCAAACATACATTGTGATATAAAAGGAGACAACATTGTATTAACAGAAGTAGATGGACACATCTTACCAATTATTATAGATTTCGGGAAAATGAAAAAAAAGTGTGATGTTAAAGTAAAAAAACTGTCCTTAAATGATCAGGAAWACTACAGAAAACACCACAGGCATATTGCACCGGAAATTGTGGTTACTCATCCTCYATCCGAAGCTAGTGATATTTATGCTTTTGGACTTGTTATTTATTTGTTATTATAACAAATTTGAAGACCTCAGGCTAATTGCTGTTAAATGCATCCATGGCACACCAGAGAAGCGTCCAAATATTGACAATATTTTAAATAACTTTTTTTTCATAGTTAAATAATTTCACAGATATTTTCATTTTGATAGATTTTTTAACAAACTACATTGCCATGATATCTTGAAAATTGTGTTTAATTTGTGTATTATACTTATGAACGGTCTCTATATGTTTATAATCAAAAGAGATGGTGAATTGATTCGTTAATCATACNATGCAAGTAAGGTGGAGACATTTTACACTATGGCGACAAATACCTGAAGAACAACAGCAGCAGCTTTCTCCATGTCCTAGATGCTTTGCACGATTTATATTGGACTACAAAGGACTTGATGACGTCACGGACAATCCCTGATCAATACTCACCGACATTACTCACCAGTTACTGCTTATATTGTCCTCTTCAAACGTATGTGATACACGAAATATCATATATTTTATGACAGTGAATGAATGTCCAATTGTGTGTTAAGTCTGGACAAAATATATGCTTTTATAGCCGATATATCATCATTACTCACTGACAGTGAGTTAAAGTTATCAAACTGTCCTGTTTATTGAAGCCAATGATAGTGAGTAATGATCGTTATTCACAACAAAACAGTTATTTGTAATCCATTAACTGTGGTGATGTTTTTAAACGTTAAGGAGTACTCCTACATGAATTAAAGCTAATCTTCATCGCACTATTTACTATATAAATGGCCATGTTATACGTGAGTATTGTTTGTATATATCGCCTGTCACGCGATTATACTCAAAACACAATCTGCATTGACCGCTGACATGTTTGACACAAAGAATGTTACAATAATTACCGTTTCAGAGCAAAAATGGATGTGATTATAATATCATATTATCAAATGACACAAATAAAATAAACGTTGTTTATTCAATATTTTGTTCTGTTTCCCTTACTCTTTACAATTGCTTGTAGACGCTTTGGCATAGTATTGATAGTTTTGTCCACTTCATGTGTAGTAATTCGATGAAATTCTTCCTTTATTCTCGTCTTAAATTCATCAAATGACTCGTTAGTTATCATTTTTGAAATAGCTTCCTTCTCTAAGTCGGTTTTGACGGTATTAAAGATGTTTTCAATTGGATTGAGATCAGGAGATCGTGGAGGAATTGCATGAATTTCAGCCTCTATTTTTTCTATTTCACATAATGCTCTATGGCTGTTTTGAGAGGGGTCATTATCCATAACAAACAGTCTTAATGAGTTATGCTTCGGCCCTGCTAGACCAAAAATTAATTTCATACGATCGCGAACAAATTGCGCGAAATAAGCACCGTTCATGTGTTCATAGTCCTCTGTCACGAGAACGCCTTTACCATAAGCAATAACCACCATCATGTGAACTCGACGTCCTCCGGCTAAAGACTTATTGCCTTTGGCTGTGATACATAGACCTTCTCCTTGTTTGCGCCACACCCTTCCCTTAGGACTTGTCGATTCTTGAAAGGGATTATATTTGTGTACAAACGAGACTGCATCAAGATAAAATCCAATATGATTTATATAAAAGCTTGGATACTCTTGTAATAGCTTTAGCATAGCACGAGCAYATTGCAATCTCTTCGTCTTGTCAACATCTGATAGCAAACCCTTCCTCCTAGTAATCAGRTATTTGTATCCCAGGCTATTCAAATACCTGGTGAATGTACGTTTATGAGYYTCGTCACCCTTGAATCCTGCATGTTTTACGACATCCATAGCAGTAAAATTCACATTGTTCCRCCTTAGGTCTTTWACAGBCCTATCCAGCTGACGTACATCASGTTCTGACAGCTTTCTCTTGCGACCACGACGTTTCGTTTCCGCGGTTTTCGGGTATAAAATTCTCACTTCATCCTTTACAAAACGATGTGCAGATGTCTTCGAGATGTTATACTTCTTGCCTATGCTGCGGAAAGTCMTGTGATGGTATTCTCTTTCTAGTATAGCTGCGCATTTACGCGCRTTATTGATGCGTCTAACCATGCTTACAGTGAAAATTTACAAAATTATCACTATGACGTCATCGCTTAATTACCGCGTGCAATTATCTAGCGTTATTTTTCGGATTGCGTGACATACAAGTAATACTTTTGAGTTATATGATTTTCATTCATTTTCACTTTTATGTCTTTTTATTTAAAATCGAGATTCAGACAATGGGAGACATTTTTAATGGTACAACACGATTATTTTGAACAATTTACTGAATTTTCCTGTTTCCCTAGCCCCCCTGCCCCCTATCCCCCCCTTGCCCCCCTATTCAATGTTGGAAGATGCCCATGTTCAGGGCGGGTTTGGGGGGGAGGTTTACAATATCTCTGAAAGGTACAAAAATATGAGCTTGTCCCGTATAAATATGTCCACCATTTTGGTTGTAAAAAGGATTCCTTAGTCTCACCGGTGTTTCGCCAAAACATCCAGGATTGTCCACAAATTAGGGAAAATACATCTCGTCCTTGATACGGATAGCCGTGAAAACCAGGCAGCAAACGCTGTTGTTAAGTATACTGTATATGTTGAACTGGTGGTTGTATGGCCACTTATTTCATACTCGACACAGTTTTCATTGTTATTCAACTTGCTTTATTTGATCAACATACTTCAATCTGAAAGCCGGGGAGGGCTTTGAAATATAGCAGGGAAATATGGGGTATGTATGAAGGATGTATTGAAACGCCATCGGGATGTATTAAAATACATCCCTCCTGTTCAGAATAGCCCAGGTTCTAAATATCAACGTACAAAAAATTCAGTACGAGGCTCACACCACTTATGGTCTCTGACCATTAGTCTTGTGGTCTTGTGAACATCGCTCTGAATCTTTTGTACGTCGATACATCG